TACATATACATACAAATACACTTTCCATTATAGCATCCTACTTTTTTTTTCATTTTTTCCATTATAACATTGTACTTTCCAAATACACTTAAACATACAAATACACATATTACATATACAAAATAATACACTTTCTATTATAGCATCCTACTTTGTTTTTTTTTCATTTTTTTCATTATAGAATCGTAGTTTTCAAATTACATACAAATACACAAACTACATACTTAATTTTCTATACATACAAATACACATATACATAAATAATACTTTCCATTATAGCATCCTACTTTGTTTTTTTTTTTATTTCACTTTTTCATCTATAACATTATAGTTTCCAAATTGCATACAAATACACGAACTACATACAAATACACAAACTACATACATAATTTTCTATACATACAAATAAACATATAGGAAAAAATAATACTTTCCATTATAGCATCCTACTTTGTTTTTTTCATTTTTTTTCATTATAGCATTGTAGGTTCCATACACATATAAATATTAAAAAAACCAACATATTACACATATACATGCATCATACACATAGAAATACATATATACAAAAAAATACACATAAACATGTATCATACACATAAAAACATACGTCATACATACACAAAATCAACAAGTTATATATATAAAAAACCATAATAAAAAAAAAAACCTTTTCTGTGGTAGCTGTGATAGCAATTTCCGGCGATAATGTGCTGGTGGCGGTGAGGATCCTCATATTCTGGGAAACAAACTCCAAGTTGTCGAAATTCCTTCAACCAACATGTACATGCGGTGGGGGAGAGGAGAAATCGAAAAGCAAAAGAGAAAAAAATGAAAAAACTCCCAGCAGCTAGTTGTCATCGGAAATAGGGTGGAATCACCATTGATTTACGTTGTTGGTGATAAGGTGGGTCGTTGGTGATGCTGTTTGGGTCGCCGGTGTGTTGGACACCAATGGAAGCTTCGGATTTTGTTAATGGTCATCGCAGTCACAACAATTTTCGACAGAATGGAAAATGGGAGAGCCGTCGTAGTCACAACAATTTTCGACAGAATGGAAAATGGGAACGCAAAACTGAACTGGGGAAGAAGAAAGGGTATTATCTGCGACGAAAATTAGCGGCGACAGGAGGTGTAATAGCGGCTACAACATTGGAGGGAATCTTTGGCGTTATTTTTTCAGGTATTAGCGGCGACGATGGCGCCACTAAAGGTTTGATACGATGTGGATTTCCTGGCATTGGATTAGGACTGCATCGATGACTATGATTTCAACTTAGTTGTTGACACAGATCGATGACATGTGAGCATTAGTGGTGACGCCTTTAGCGGCGATGCACACCTTTAGTGGCGACAAATAACGCAAAACGCGTTTGTCACCGCTAAAGGTTTACGTCCCCGCCAATGCTCACGTTTCTTGTAGTGCGTGCATTAATGTTAATAAAACATGCCTTCGTATTGATAAATTATGAAATGCAAAACATGGCTTTTGAATTTCAAATTAGATCATACAAAAAAAGGAATGGGAAACTTACCAAGTGAACAATGATGACTCAAAAATCGAGAAAGATAGAGATGCATCAATTGAGGTTTGTCTTAACCTCCCCGCTAATGCTTCTAGGTATGCTTTCCGAATGATATTAACGAGAATGTCTCATGTATTCTCATGGTTGGTGGTTTAAGAAGTCAAGAATGACGATTGCAGAGGAGAAGGAATTATGGTGGAGGCAACTTCATTTGCGATTTCTATCTTGGAAACCACCGATCGATTCTTCTAGGTCTGTCATTTATTTTGTGGGTTATTGTTGTTCCGGAGAAAGAAGACAGTGGTGCCGGTAACCTCAGAGAAGGAGGGCTGTGTCGATGGTGGAGTCCTGTGATTCCACTTGTGAAGCAACCCATATGTCGTTTGTTTTCTTTTTCTTTTGTGGTGTGATGCAATGAAGAAGAAATTACCGTGATATAAGAGAGAGATTATGTCAAATATTTAGTTTCTTTCCTTAATCATAGGATTTTAATTAAATGTTTCCATTAATTGAGAATACAAAATCTCAAAAATACCCTTACTGATTTAATTAATTATTTAATTTTAGTTCAATTTGGATTGGTCCATACAAACACACAATACATGTAGAAAATGTATGAACTTATATGTATGGTTAGGATTAAATGTGAATCATAAGTATTGTATGAATATATGATCAAATTCTAGCCATTAGATTTAAAAATTGAATGGTTAGGATTCTCAATGGCTTTATTTTAATTAAAAAGAAAAAAAATATATTTTCTAAAAAAATGTTAATAAGGGTAAATGGGATATTTTATGTTGAATAAATTTAGAAAAACTCATAATGACTAGGCCTAATAGTTTCTTCTCGAAATTTAAATTCATGGCCATCAAACGCATAACTAAATCATCAAATACCATAATATGATTCTTCATTATTAATGCCCTCTCCATGATCGTCTCTTGGCTAACTTGGCCTATAACATTTTCTCACAATACATATTGTAATATACTTAAAGCCCATTGTTTCATTTCACGAAGTTCTTATGGAAATGTATTTCAATAAAGCTCCTTCGAACATCACCTTCATCTTCCATTTCCATTTATCAACATCATCATCCATATTCCACTTGTCAATTTCTAAAGGGGTGCCCAATAGAATATATGAGTCTTTAACATATGGTGAAATTATTTGAGTCAGGAGATTTTATCGAACATTTGGTGTGCACAACAAACTACCAAACCCTAAAATCAAATGCAATGCACAAAATGCACTCCAAATGAAACATATGTATTGTGATTATTTTGTAAGGGAAAATATTGTGTTCAAACCAAAAAGTAAACTACCAAAAAAAATTATTAATGAGAGGTCATCAACAAAAATACTCAAAACCCTTGGTCCCTCGAAGGAGGGTTAAACCAACAAACAAAAGGAACAAATAGAATGCTAAAATAACAACTAATAAACACTAAAAACAATCAAGAATGTAGATTTAATGTGGTTCCATGACCAAAAAAGTTGTATACATCCGTCCACAAGGGAGAGATGATATCTTGCTTGTTGCACTAACAAAGGGGGTTACAAACAGTTACTAATGTACAATAAGTGATCCAAAAAATATAAAATATCGCACCTAAGGATAAAGGAAAAGAATTTCACCCTTCAATTGAATATAAGGGGTGATATAACTTGTATGGGGTTCAAGAGGTTTCGGCTAAGGGGTTATTTGATTGCGTTCTGACGTAGTCTGGTCAGAAGTTTTTGCTGACCCGGACTGAGTTTGTGTGTTTGATGCCATCTATATAACCTCTGACTCGGTCCAAAACTCTCCTAAATCCTCCGACTCGGTCCAAGGAAAAAAAGCGTCTGACCGCGTCATCTTCATCATCCGCCCCTTTTGCCCTTTGGTGTTAGATCGACATCGCAAGCCAACTTCTTCCAACTCACCGTCTTCTTCCTAAGACAACAGCACCCTTTATTACCCTTCTTCCTCAGACGGCCGTTGAAGAGAGACCTGCCTCCATCGCTCATGCTCTCCATTCGCTGTTCCACCGACGACAACGTCGATGCCATCAGATTCCTCATCCGCGCCGTCGTCTTGCTCAGGTGAGTTTTTTTTTTTTTTTTGAACAACAAGATGTTGGCTATCGATTGGATCAATTTCACAAAATCAAAATTGATTTTAACTAGTTAAATTGTTGTTGTTGTGTGTTCTGATTATCTTGCTATTGATGTGCTCTGATTCTTATTGTTCATGTGCTCTGATTTTGATTTTTGTTTATCTTGCACCTGATTTCGATTTTCCTTGTTGATGTGTTCTGATTTTGATTTTTGTTTATCTTGCACCTTATTTCGATTTTCCTTCTGTCACTTGATTTCAATTTCAAAGAACATCAAGAAAGAGTTTTGCAAGGATGTGGAGTGCCAAACACCTTCTGGTTTCTCGATTGAAGCCCCAAAGACAAGCTTTTTCGAGGTCAAGAGCTCATGGTATTAGTAGATTATGCTGGTGGTTGGTTGTTGCTTTTTCCAATTTGTCCATGTTTATAACCATATAACAGATGTGTATAAAACAAGTATATCCATTGTTTGGTATTAGTAGATTTTGTTGGTCGTTGGTTGTTGCATCACATCATTTTGCCTCACAAATTACCGGTATACAATGTTCAAGTTATGTGCTTTCTGTTATAACATTATACATTGAAATAAGTGATTAGATTTTTCATAGTATAATAAACTAATAAAAGAATTAGGAAAGTAAAATGCTATAATTGTAATAAACTTTAAAGTACAATGCTATGAGAGAAATAAATAAAAGTATGTAGTTTTCTTTAAGTGTTGATGTAAAGGAATTATTGTAAAAGATATTGTCTGAGGGTAATATAGTCATTTTGTACTATCAGTCAGATGCAAAATCAAACAACAAATTTTAATCAAAAGTTTACATAGTCAAAAATTTACATAGTCAGAAATTCTAACTCAGTCAACTTCTAACCCAGTCAGCTGTAACCCAGTTAGTAACTATGAAACGACCCCTAATTCTCGTGACGCTAAAGTTGTTTCAACTAATGTCGTGAGGCTACGACAAAATAACTTGGCCAAACAGGTAAACAAACTTCTCCAATTTGTATTTTCCCAAATTATTGACGGATGTGCAACATGAAACATTGTGTATCACCAAATTACCTAGTTAAAAAAATCTAAATCAGCCACTGCAAAATATATATTTTGACATAGTGAAATGTTATTAGAGCATTCACAATGGGAGTTTAGTAAGAGTTGAATATATTATGACTAGAATTGAATAGAAGTTTAATGGAATGTGAATGATGACAAGGATGAAAGTTGTATGATCATTGAGTGGTTCAATGAATTTAATCTTTTCTTTTTCAGTTAAATTTCAAACCAAATATAAAAATCAATTAAACTTTGTAGGGTTTAATAGAGTGTGGATGCTATAGAGTATAGTTAACTAAAAAGAGAAATATTGATGTGGCGTTGATGTAGAGTTCAATGGATTGTGGTGTCCCACGCTTTATAATCTAAATAGTACAAAAGATGTTATTTCACACTAATTATTAATATTTATTTTAAATTGATAAATGCTTCAGAGCTGTTCCCTTCCATGGTTTTACATGTTTAGACCCAATAAATTCTGAGTAATCAGACGTGGTCTACACTTGGCTACCAAAGGTTGAACCTTGGGCATGGTGAGCCCAGAGCCTTCACTCATATCAACCATCTCTTCACTAATCCTTTCCCAATCAAAACACTGTATGAGCAACCCTAACGTCAACCCAACCATACGCATCGCCAAACCTTCTCCTGGACAACTTCTCCTTCCAGACCCAAATGGCATGAAGCTATACCCATCTTTTGTGCCTTCGAACCTTTCTGGGTAAAACCTTTCAGGGTCACTCCAGAGCTTGGGGTCATGATGCATGGCCCATTGGTTGATGAGTAGCATGGTCCCCCGTGGGATGTCATAGCCTCCGACCATACAATCGTCCGATGACTCGTGAGGTACCAGCAGTGGCACTACAGGGTACATTCGTAAAGTCTCGTTGATAATACAACGAATGTAAGGTAAGCTGCTCATGTCTGATTCATCAACAAGACGGGTTTTTCCGACATGGCTGTCGATTTGATTCTGGGCCTTCTTTAAAACATGAGGATGGTTGAGCAGGAGGGAAAGAGCCCATCCCATGGTCGACGCAGAAGTATCAGTTCCAGCTGTTAATAGGTTCTAATCATCAAGAACAGAAGTTAGTGTAAACGATTTCGTAAAAGATAAATTAAATGTAGGGAATTAGAAATCTTACAACGCAAAAGCTTTTAATAAGTTCATCGGTGTAGTACCCAGGGTCATTTTTTTGTAGCTGCAAGAGGACTTCAATCATTGTGTTCTTCTTCTTGTTTTCCGGTTCAACACCTTCCTCCTTTCGAAGTTGCTCAATCAACCCTTGGAAAAAAGCATCTCTCTTTTTCTGCAATGCAATCATCTCCTTTTCCAGCCCTTTCATTCCAAACCATTTCATAATGGGCAAATGATCCCCTAAATTCGAAGTATCCTCCAATAGAACTGTCTCTTTAATTATCTCCTGAAACCGTTTCCCTTCCTCTTCCATATCTCCGCCGCAATACCTTTTCCCGGATATCATCCTCATTATCAAGTTGAGCATCAACTCGTGGAATACCAACGTGAAGTTCACCGGCGAAAAGGATTGAGATATCAGTTTACGTATCAGGAGTCTTCCTTCGTCGGCGCGTATGTCATGGAAGTCGTTGAGGCGGTGAGAGGAGAAGATCTCGATGGTGGAGATCCGGCGAAGGTTGCGCCAGTGGTCGCCGTATGATGACCAGCCGAGGCTGGTGTAGTTGGAACCAAAAATCTTGCCCGCGAGCATCCGAGGGCGGTTGGCAAAAATAACGTCGTTCTTAGTCAAACATTCTTCGGCGGCGGAAGGGGAGGAGACCAACAGGACGCGGCGCGATCCATATCGGAGGAGGAGAATCGGGCCATGTTTGGCGGAGATTGTGGCGAAGGTCCTGTGGAGTGGTTTTTTCAACAGGTGGAGGTGGCCGATAACAGGGAGAGTTGGAAAGAGAGTAGGGGGAAGGTTAGAGGACTTGCGGCGGAAGTTGGAGGCGAAGAGAAATGCAGCGACAAGTAATGCGACGGTGATGAAGAAAGAATCCATGATCGATGATACCGAGAAACGAGTTTGGACGGACTAGATTTTGGTTGGTGATGCTATATATATAAATTACCTGGGATTCATTGATAGGGTCTTATGCTTTTATCGTTTTCACTAACATAAATTTACATATCTTTGAATATATTTAATTATTACAATGATTTCTAATCTTTAACATAATAATAATATTTATTATTATAAATGTAATATCTTATTTTTAGTTATTGCAAAAATTAAATACAAATTTTTTTTATCAGGTAACTTTATTATTATTATTTTCAAACCCATCTCACGTAATATATCTGTCGAATCTAACATGGTATATTGACTATATTCATCGAATCCAACATAATATATACTCTGTTGTGATATACGTTCGTTAGGAAATAACTTTCTATCATCATTAAACAGATTTTATTTTTAGAAAATACTTTTATTTCATAAAAATATGACCATTTACTTTCTATTTATGACCACTTTTATCATTAAAAAACATTAAATTACACAACAACATAGTAACCGTTTAAACTTGACAAATTTGCAAAAATATCCATTTGGTATGTATTTTTTCTGAAGTTTAGTTTAAGCTTTGATTTTTTTGGTTTCACCGTCTTTTTGGTCTAGTTTGCATATAGAAATGGTCTCCTGACTTAACTCCTGTTAAGTTGTTGTTGTTAACCCCTCATGTGTCTCGATGAGGGTATATTTGTATTTTTACATTTTAGAGACCATTTGTGCACCTAAAAAAATATATCCCCCTTTTAAAAAAAAAATTAATATCTATCTATTCATTTTAATGATTAAAAAATAAAAGAGCTCTCTCGCAACCAAAAACACCTCCATTGGAGGTGGTGTTCTTGTGGTTTTCTAATGAACAGAGGAACAACAGCCCCTCGTCCCTCCTTTTTCCTTTTTCTGTCGAGCAAAGCAGCAAGACACCCCTAAAATTCGATGTCTAGTTTATCCTTTATTCTGTTCAGTTTCAATCAAAGATACCCCCATCGGAGGTGGATTTTTTCCAGCAGACATGAGGGCAACAACCACCCTCGTACCTTCTCTTTTTTTGTCGACTCAGTAGCAGCCAAACACCCACCTGCATTGTTGTTGTTTCCCTGCTTCTATCGTACCATCTCTCCCCCTCCCCTTCACATTTTTTCCGGGACAGAAGAAGCGCAGGAGCTTCTTCAGCAGCCCTTGTAGCTTTCGTTTCTTCCTCCATCTCACGAACCAGTGAGGGCACCAGAGGTGCTCGTTCCTTACTCGACAAATCAACCACCAGAATAGTTGATTGTTCATGGATGAGATCCCGAATTTTGTTGCTCAGCCACTTCCAGATGGAACATATCATATATAATTGTAGGAATGATCTGTTGGGTTAATCGGTTGTTTGAAAAGCAATAGAAAAGTTTCCTTTTTTATTAGTATTTTAAGTTTCTTTCAAGAGT